TGACTTCGTCAACTAGAAAGTTAAATAGCAAAGGTGATAACGGGCAACCTTGTCTCACACCGTTGGTGATACTGAAGGGTGGCGACGCTCGAACTGTGCGCGTATAGCGCTTTGATAATGTTTATGTATTTATCACACACACCTTTCCTCTGTGCCAAAGGGAACATCGATCGACTGAGTCGAAGGCACCTTTTATGTCAAGAAACACGACAACAATGGGTCACCAATAAACATGGCAGTACTCCGACAATTGACGCAAAGTGATGTGGTCGATGCAGCCCCGAACTCGACGAAACCCGGCTTTCTCTTCACGGATCTGGCTTTCACGAGTGCCAGTCAGTCTGTGGAGAATGACAGACGCAAGCAATTTAGACGCAATTAGAATCAGAGCGATCCCTCTATGATTGGCGCATTCCGAACGGAAGCCTCCGCTGAAAAGCGGTACAATGACGGAGCGGCTTCAGTCTGTCTGGACAGTCTCCTGCTAACAACGTTTCACTAGCAACTCGTGTAAATCATGTACTAGAGCTGATCTCCCGAATGTGAAGATGGCTAGGGGAATTCTATCTGCCCCTGCGAACTTATGCAATTTCAACAGTCTGATCTCACGTCCGACTTCTGCGTGTGAGGGCGGATCCAAGGAGATGGTCTCGGGGAAAAAGGGCGTTCAATGCCCGAAAAAGAAAGTGATAACTCAGGTTAGTTAAATTTCCCTGCAGTGTTCGGCCTAACGCTCCAAGCGTTTTGACAGACTGTGGATCGGCTGCCCAATCCCGTCGCGTATGGTTTCGCTAACACCAGGTCTCCTGCTGCTTGCTTCCCGTATCAGACAGAATAACTTACCTTGATTACCAACGGCAGCAGCTGCTCCCATCTGTGACGCTTCGTGGTCTTTCTTCAGGCTAGCACGCAGTTTTGCACCGAGATTTTTACGAGTCTCCTTGTATCCGCTTCCAGCCGGAATACGTCGGCGAGCATCCATAAGTCCCAGAGACTGTGTAGAGACCCAATGTCCAGTTTCGCAATTTGATTTGCCACATGAAGACATGCGTGCTGATAGTAACGTTTGGCGAATATGCATCCAGTGATTTTCGACGGTGTTCAGTGGGCGCTTACTCAGCCCCATGTCAGCTCACTTTGATACACATTCAGAACACCTGGCTTCGCCAGCTGGCTGGTGTCAATCCATTCACATCGACGTTGCGGACGTCCACCGAAATGCACCCGGAAGTCGGCACAAACGAGTGCGGGGTCAGAGTCCACGCTCGTGCTCCAAATCAAGCGACAGTTTTGGACACAGCCACTCCAGTGGTAATTGATCGCGATATGATCGATTTGCGTCCATGGCAAGTGCGAGGCTGGTGAGCGCAAAGTCATGCTTCTGCGTGTGCTGTGTCGAAAGTTTATGCTTGCGAGAAAGAGACGAGCATCTTTACACAGCTGTAGCAATCGCCCACCGTTATCATTACGGGAGCCTACACCATGTTGGCCGCCCAGATGAAGCTCAACAGAGGACCAGTTTCCGACTTGCGCATTTAGATCGCCGGCCAACACCACAGTATCCGTGCTTCTTCTGTAACAGAGATCGTTAAGTTGCTGATAGAAATCATCCTTCACCGAATCAGCGCTACAGTTTGTAGGGGCGTAGGTCGCAATGACAAACAGACACCGTTTGTTCCCGCGCGACTTCGTAGCATGGAACGAACTAGCTAATCCAACGGCGCGCATCCGATTCTTGAATGGGATCCAATTGATCAAGGCAGGTTTAGCCCAGGGACTCAAAACAATGCCGATGCCAGCTTGATCGGCATTTGAAGCTGCAACATCGCCAGACAGGCGAAATGAGAATGTGCCGCCAGTGTCGCATGTGGGGGATCGCAGGGTAAGCACGGAGCTCAAATCTTGCAAGCGGGTTTCTGATAAACAACAAATAGCGTTCGATAGGGTCTCTGGTGTACAGGCAAGTGCTGCATTTTGGTCAATCTGTAGCCAAGTGCGCACGTTGAGGCATGCCAGTCTTAGCGAGACTCGAGGACTCCAAAGAGAAACGGATGAACTGACGTTGTCCGCTTGGTTGGGCATAAACTTGTCGACTGGATTGGAGCGATGTCCTGCAACTGTGTGTGACTTGAAACTAGAAGACAAGCGACTATTAAAGCAACGTAGGGGAGGGCCAAGAATTGAAAACAGGAGATAAAAGTAAAGTTGGAGCGGGACGATAAGCATGAAAAATCGCAAGAAGCGGGATAAGAAGACGGGAAGACCTGAGAATTAGCATCCAAACCGCTATCCACTCCGCTCGATGCAGCAGATAGGGCGCCGTTGATTATCCTTTGCGAACACCAGACCAAAAAAATTGTTAGAAGAAAGGTTCATTGTATTGTGTGGGCAGAATACTGTCAGATTGCCCAGGCCTACACAGGAGAACAATTAGGGTTCGCAACCAAAGCTTTCGGTTCAAAAAACCTTACCGCAAGGCAGCGAAGTCTTGGCAGTGGACTACAGAGGGCACGTTTTATGGAGTAAGGTGCCACCCTCACTTAAGCCCCCAACCTGGAGGACCAGGAGACTGAGTTTGTCTGGCCTATAACCATTGAGTAATTTGGTATGAGTGGCTCTGAAGGTGCAAAATAGCGCGACTTAGTATAGCTCAATGGATCACTGAGGCACACAAACTATGACACTAGCTGAAGGTCGGGTCTCATCGCCATGACAAAAATTACACCAACAGTTGACTTTCTGTCAGCTGGAGATGACTGAACATTCATTTTCTGCGACAGTGTATAGATCAGCCGCGCGTTTGATTTCTCAAGTAGCTTCTGTAGCCGCTGCATGATCAAGGTGTGCGCACCCACTAAAAGTGGCATCTTTGGGAGTTATTCACAATAGTATTCCATGGACAGAAAAATCTGTTGTTATTTTCTATGTATCGCGTACGTGCGGACCTCAAAGCTCAAACCTTCGACCCAAAACAGAAGTCGAAAGACGTCAACAAGGAACACCTTCTTACTAGAAGACAAAACGAGGTACATGGGATATGATTACATTGGTTTATAAAGTACTCCTACACAATGACCCTGAAATTGTAACTGTGGCAAACTGGGTTGATTGAACCTAGGTCATGACCATGACACAAGCGAATCACCGTCGAGCCGGAATGCTGGACGTTCTAGCCGACAGATTCCGTTAGCGTCTAACCCCCCCCCCTAACAGAGGGACATTTTGAGGCACTTGGTATGTGAATATAGTGCAGCGCACAACACCCTATATTCATCTACTACATCATAGTTATGATCCCAGTGATGGCAATGACCAAGATTTAATTCAATGTGAATCGCAGTCCACATTGAGATTATGTGTCGCAATCAGTTCACAGAAATGCTTCAAAATGACCCTCCAAGGAATCAGTAATCGCTGTGCCAAGGGTTGATCGTCGTGACCCGGTGGCCGAAGGGGGAAAGGTTTGGGCTAACATACCAACGGTGGTCCAGGGTTCGATACCCGCTATCTCAACCTGATGAGATCAAATAAGTTCGAAACCGTTAGTGGAGTGCAGAGTTCTCGGGCAGGCAACAGCATATGAACAACCATTTCTCGGTTTTGTTCTAAATCAGGTGATGTTTGATACCTTACATTTTCGTACAGCTTGCCTATTGGTATTGCGGCACTAGAGCTGAAGTGTTTCTCTGTTTTAGCTAGTGTGTATTGATGCGGATGATGAAACTGTTGGCTAATCGGGGTGATGGAACGCAACCCTGAGGGAGCAAAACAGCTTGGTAAGATGATAGTGTTGGTTGAAGAAAGTAAGACAAAGTTGATTGAGAATATACTCCAGTCATTTGTGGTGTAAGCAAAAACAAGCACTGAAAAGCAGCATTCTTCTGTGGATGCCGTCTCTGAATGCGTTTATAGGTCACTAAACGACCCGGATGCCTGCTCATGAAAAATGACATAGGTATACCATACTTCTGCGCGACCCAATGTAAACCGCAACAGAAACGGATTATGACACGGATGACTTCATTCAAACCGACGGCGATTCCAAAAGTAATATAGAGAGTACCAGACAGACCGTAGCTAACCATAACTGCCCACTACTTAAAGATTGTCAGAGGTGAATTAGGCCAAGCAGGGACCCACAGAATTATGATACTAGTCGAAGTAACTATGACATCTAGATACGAATGCGAATGTACCAACTTTGCAGTGAAAATGCAACAGTGCTAAATGATGTGAGATTATCGTGATGGTTAACGGAAAGCGAAGCATATAAAAGCAGTCGTAATCATCAAAAACGGTACATGCTTAGGTTTCCCGACATCATGTAACAACAGCTGCCACTCTAATGTAGAACAAGATAAGAGAAAAGGAGAAATACTATAAAACCTAAAAGATTTAAGCAGTCAAATAGAGATTCCAAGAGCATACGGGTACGAACCCCTAAGTGTTCAACAGTAAGTATGAAGCCACTAAACACACATGTAATTAGGTTCCATAGGGAAACGCGGAAGAGAGAACGATGTGGATTCTAGGTAAATGCGCAAAGCCGGTAATTGTCAAATGCTTGCAAATAACACCTCAGTAGATGTCACCAGAGACTAAAGTGTATGATGTCATTGCTACTAATTTTCGTGCTAAAGCCGTCCGTCGGATTGCACTAAAGTTCATGTAATTGGAGGGTAATGTATGTCGATATTGTACAGTCTTGACCGCAGACGGTAGGGATGGAGTCCACGGTTTTATCCTCTGTAACACGATGTTAGGCTGCGCTAAAGATAGATCCGGAATGGATGGGACGTCAGACCAATAGTTGTCCAATTCCCCGGTGACTGCCCAAATGGAACTAGCTGTGACGGGTCAGAAACAAGAGGCTTGAAACTACTTTCGAAAAACATAAGGACACAGCAAAGTTCCCTGCTAAGGTGTCAGGAGCAAGTAGTTGGTGAATTGAAGCTACAATACAACACAAAATATTTATGGAGTTACGGCAGAAAACTTACTGAATCGTGAGGCGTGCGATAAGCAATTATTAAGTGATTCTGTGTCAGGTATAGCTTTCGTATCGTTTGGATGGTAAACACCGTTTACAAAGTAGTTCAAAGGTGTAGCTGCATATGCCGGACATCCATTTGCTTCAAATGAGTTCAGTACAAAGTTCACTCGTTCGTTCGTGATGTTCCCATCCGACCCACTAGCGAACTGGCCGGTGGATTGCGCAGACGTGTCATGAACGGGATAGGCAGGTATGTCTGGTACATCCACAGAAGTCAAAGGAGTGCGTGAAGCTTCAGCTGTTGAAATCGATCGCTGGGTCGCATTTGGTATGTACGTGATTCTAGAGTTCTGCAACTGGTGGGTGAACTCATTTCGTGACGATAGTGGATGCGAATCCGAAGGATCTGATTGATGGGGGATTGTGGTACCATTAAGACTTTCTAGAGGCAGTGAAGATGCAGGAAAAGGGAACGATCCAAGGTTTGACGCTGAAAACTGTGCCCCAGAGCCTATTTGTGAACCGACAAATTGGGCGATAACGTTAGCGGAGCATTCGTAGCCTTGATGATCGGAACAGTTCGGATTAGTATAGTGCATAATTTCAGAGCGCATATTTGGTACGACGGAGTAGGAAAGAGACGGATGTGGCCCAGACGACTGAGATGACCCGGGAGGAAGGAAAAAATGGGTAGGATTAAAACCGGGCATTGAGGTACTCAATAGGGGTTGCGCAGTGCTCAGAGGTTCAGGATCTACCGGTCGAACGTCTCCATCGCAACAAGTAAACGGATTGACGGCAGTTGATTGCGGTAAGGCAACTGACGCTGAATAAGGACCCATGATATGGTCCGCAAACTCCCGCATAAGAAAGGCTAAAAAAGTGGCTACACTTATTTTTGTTAATATGAACACTTACTTCCACTTCCTGGAGAATTACTCAAAACCTGGTCAACCATTTGTAAACCCAATGCTGCCATATCTTTCGAGCTAGGTGACATAAGCACACCACTTTCCACCAAATTTGACTCTGAAAATTGCATGGATCCCAATTTATCCTTCCGATTGTGAATCATAGGTAAGAAGTTGGAGGCTGGACGGTTATGCCGAGACTCCCAAGGAGAGGCTAGGGAAAGCCCCTTGATAGTTGGAGCATCCCGAACGGAAGAACTTGGCAATGAGCCTCCATTGTTCCACAACATCCGAGTTTCTTCAAAAGTCAACCCAGTCATTGAGTTAACGAGGACGTCAGGAGAGGAAGTAGAAGCTATCCCATCACACTGGCCACATGGAGAAGACGATGGAGACTTGAGGTTCTGAGCATGTGATGCATGGAGTGTGTTACATCCGGGAACATTTATTTTAAATGCGAATCCAGTATTAAAGCAGTCGATCGGAGAGGCAATATTCGCCCCAGACTCCTCACCCTAAAGGATGGGCTTAAAATCCTATGAGATTAACTTACCTTGGACATGTTGGATTCCCAGTCCACTGCAGCGCACCATCTCACATTGTTAGAGTGCACATAAACAAAGAAAAATGATCTATAAGAAACAAAAAAGTGCCGCACAACAGGTGAGTAGCCGGAATGCCCAAAAGTAAGATAAGCACTATATGAAAAGCAAAAGCATGTGGTTGTGAATAGTAAAGGTAATGCTCAGACGTCGAATCACAAAGGGCACACATCCCCAGCGTCATGCATAAAGCTGCGACCCTGAAGAGTGGTTTCACCAGTAGTCTTGACAACAACTGGATCTCTGCACGATCCCTGCAACTCCTCCTAACTCGTCGAGCAATTCCTGTTGGTGTTACGTACAATATACTGCGCAGGACCACCAAGGTTGAACTCAAACAGCTCTTCTGAAAGGAAAGTCAGAGCTGATGGATACAGCGGGTTATTGATATGAAGCAAGAGGCCACCTCATGTAATTTCCGAAAAGCATTCCTCCAGATTCGATCCAATGAGGGCAAAAGGCCGACCGTAAGCGATGTATTGTGCGAAACCAATGGCGAGCCAATCCATTTTAAAGTGTCCACTTATGTATTGGAAGGAGCATTATGAGCAGCAGTTTAACAAGCCAGCAGCACCGGTGTGTTCACATTCAGGAATCCAGAGGGCAACTTGATGTGTAGACGCTGCACCACCTTCTGAAACTAAGGTTCCCAATGACAATCGCCTCCTAAAGTGTTACAAAACCCCCGGCCCAAACTAAGCCCATCCGGTTTGTTTCAAAGATGGAGACCCATCACTTAATCGACAGTTAACTTCCCTCCTCCGAGAAGTTTGGACTACCGAAGCAAGTCCGTCTGATTGGAGTCCAGCGGAGATCGTGACCGGTCAAACTGTGCTAATCAAAGAGGGACTAGTCTAAGCTGTAATAACTCTAAAGTGCTCGCCGCCATGGTTAAGGGGGCTCAGCCTGGTACGCGAACAGAACATACGCGAAGCGAAAGCTGGGTTCCGCTCTGGCCGGAATTGTATCAATCACATACTTAGGTACCATCAAATACTCGAAGGTCGTCAGACATTCAGCAGGTAAACGATCGTCGTCTTCTTAGACGCAGCAGCCGTGTCTGACTCAGTTAGCTGAGCTACACTCAGGAGTTGTCTGCTGAGAAGGGAAGTGACCGAGAAGTAGTAAACGTTCTGTAAGCCATCTATTGTAGAACCTCGGGCCGAGTGCAAGCTCAAGGCGGATTTTCTCCGCCACTTAACATCACCAATGGCGTGAGACAGATCTGCACGGCAGCATCTTCTCTGTTTAATTTCGCTATAGATGAGATCCTGGAGAGCGTCCTGAAGAACTGTGGACCCAGCGTCGTTGAGCTGCTTCCAGAGTGTGCAGACAACAATGCGGTAATTTTCGATATATCACAGACCGCCCAAAATGTGCTGTGTAGGTTGGCGGTGTCTGCCTCCCAGTTTGGAATAGCTTTTGTTCCATATAAGTGTAAGCTCTTCGTGAAGGACTGGCTGGGAGTTGCTCCCACTCTTACCACTTCTAGTCATTATCTGGAAGTGGACAAGTTTGTTTACCTCCGAGACTGCATTAGCGCTAACGGTTTAACGAATGAGATTACTCTGCGCGTTTCTAAGGTTCAGAATGCGTTCGCTAAGCCCTGTCATCTACGGCGTCGCCGAAACCTGAGTCTAAACCTGAAGAGTCGAGTCTACAATCCTAAGGTGAGAACGGTCCTGCTCTAAGGTTGCGAGACTTGGTCTGTTCGTGAAAAGGATGTTGAGAAGCTGCTTGGTTTTGATCACGACTGCCTTCAGAGTATTGCTGGTGTACAGAGACAACATGAAATAAGAAATGAGGATGTTGCGCGAAGGATTTTCAGATCAGATTTTGACGGTCGACAAGCCGCACAAGTTCACTACATAGCCTATTACATCATGGGATGTGCTTCACATGCTCACTGAGCGTTTGCCTCACCGTGCCCTGTGCACACAGAAGTCGGCTAGAAGTTAAGATAAAGTGGCCAGCGATTGAGTTGGTTCAAAAGTATAAGGACACTGACCTCACATTTGGCCGTGTACGGGCGCTCTCGACTCCGGTTGAGGGCGCAACAATTATGAGCACACCTAGCTGAAAACATTATCGGACATGTCAAGAAACCGTGAGCAAAGGCAACATATGAGAAGCCAGTCCCATAGCTGCAGTTCTACACTTCTTTTTAACCCTTCCTATAATTTTATTAATGTTGTATAACCTTTATATATATATATATATATATATATATATATATATATAGGGCCTCTGTTCGTTCAGTTTTGTTGTGTGGGAGCGAGTCTTGGCTAATATGCATAGAGGACATGCGCCGTCTTTTCGTCTTCGACAACGGTTGTTTGAGGTTCGCTCGTGGGTGGTAGGCACATCGAGTTCACGGTGGTAACGTTATACGTAACGTTCTGAGGAATGTGAGTATCCCCGTGCGCCAATTAAAATGGCTCGGTCGCTTCCTATGTATAGCACCTGAGCGTTTGAGACAGCGTACTCTATCTGGTTATTCAGACCCCGGCTTGAGGCGCCGCATGATGATCAGCCTGTAAGCTGGCGACAAACATTAAATCGCTGACGTCACGTCTAGCCGTCATAGAACAAATACGTCTGTCTGGATGGAGACCTAAGGATGAGGAGTGCCAGTGCCTTAACATGCGCGAAGACACGGCTCCCAACGAAAAGCAGTGGAATAACTGTGTGCAGAAACGCAATGATTCATATGTTTAATGCGCTAAATATGTAAAATTGAAAAAATCGGTGTCGGAGAAACAAAAAATGCTTTGATCGGTATTTTGATCTGTATGTACTACCCTTTGTTTACCATGGAATTATTTCATTCTCACTGTCGGTCTGTAATCGATCTCTACCAAGCCGCCTCGATACCGTCGAGCAAAAATTTCAGCTCAAGTAGCCATCTTGGATACTTAAAAGAATGAGACCCCTATAGCCATTTCATCCGCACAGAGAGAAATGTGAAGCGTTAAAATCGCTACTGCTCTGATTATTCGCAACGAAATACATACAAGAAAAAAATGCACAGATAAATAGTAGCATTAGCAAGCTTAGCTGTGACTGGTGAGTAGTGCACAATTAGGACAAAGGTAATAATATGATTGCATCACTTTTCCTAAGAATACAGCACCGGACGTTTCGCCACCATCATAATTTTACGATTCTAGATCGATCTGGTGACGGCCGTCATATTGTGCTTGGTGATAGACTAGGCGGGTTCCACGTTATCCCATGGCCTAGGTTGACTTGTTGCCAGAAACCACTCTAACAACATTGGGAGGAGCACAGCTGACGGTCAGTAACACTTATAGAGGTGTCACGGCAACTTTAAGTTAATTGATAGATAACGTGAGGTTCAACTGCCTGACGAATCACATTGAGGGCTTTGTGAACTCGGATGAATTTCTCTGGATTCCTGCTGGTCAGCAGCCTTCTTCCTCGATCTTTATGAGCTCTGTGCTGCAAAATTCTTTTGGCCTTGCGTCTACACGGGCCACATTTGCATGCAATCGCGGAGAAGCTGGAGAAATTAAGGCATTTTCTTTCTCGAGTTGCTTTACGGTGGATGGTGCGCTGAGGTGAATTGTCAGCGCTTCTCCACAAGTGCACCTCTATAAAAGAAGGGCTCTACTACTGTTCTACCTCGTATGATACAGAGGTTGTGGTGAGCGAAGCTAAGCGGGGTGGTCAGACGGTTAATGTGTTTCACATAACGGAAAATAAAATTATGATCTACGTATCGTTTCGAGAGCTTTGCAACACCGACGCTGTCAACAACTTTCCTATCAATCATGCTAAAAATGATATCTGAGAATAAGAACACACACGATTATCCGTAGCGACACCATCGACCTGTTTGTACGCGGCCTCTTTAACTAAGAACGTACAATTACTGTGCACGGCAGTATCAGTTCCCCCAGATACCCGAATATTTCAAAAGCAGACAGATCTGTAATAGTCCGCATTCATCAATTAGATGAAGTTCGCGTTCTGTCCATATTGCTACAGAGCACCGAATAAGCAGCATTTTTAAACAATATGTGGCTAGGAGTTTGGGCAGGGCTTTCTAGAGCTTCACTAACCACTTAGTAACTATGTGATAGAGATAGATAGATAGAGATGATAGATAGATGTGTTGCGGTGTCCCTTCTTCCTCCCCCTAAAAAAGAACAAACTGAAAAAATTTCAAAAACTGTGAGTGGTAAACTTGACAAAAAAAAGCATTTCTTGTTGCTCTTTTCTTATTATTCATATTGTTTTCCTATTCAGCCATGATTCCGATGGCACAATATCTGTAACACAGATTGTGTATAATATATATATATACATATATATACATATATATATGATAGAGAGCGTTGTTCATGCATATAATAGAGTAAAAGATGGCCTGGATTTTGCAACGGGCGCTTTGCAATCATGATGTCTCTGTGCCCTTAGCTTTTTATGGTTACCGAAACTAGATTACGAATACACATCCGCGGATATGTTGCGGGAATATCCTACTAGCACCATCAGACACTCAGGAGTCAAGGGCTGGACGTAAATAAATAAGCTAAAACATAAAAACTAAAAGGCTTAGATATCACAGAATGTACCCATTACATTTTGTCGTAACAACTAATTGGGTATCTTTGTCTTACCTGATCCTCACAAAATGAGGCAAATTCGTCAATAAAATGGTGGTTGAATTCATTAGTTCGTTGTTTTGCCATCAGTACGTAAGCGTCTAGTAACGTGAGTTGAAGAGTTTGCACGTATATGTACGTAATATGTATGGCTTCTGACGTGCGCACTATTTGCTCGCATTTCACAATCTGTCTACCGCGAAATCTTTTTAAGTGTCCGATTTGCGTCCCAGAAAGATTTAGTCAAGACTCAAATCGGATGCCCGTGGGACGATCATTGGACACTCGTGCCGACAGGGCATGAACCACTGTGGTACCAGCCCTCAGCGTCCACCTTACAGGCATTTACCACGAGGAAATTAAGTAAGAGACAAGATGGAGCAAAGGACTAGCTTACAT